ACCCACCTTATGTGCTGATCACGTTCCCCTTCCCGGAGAAGAACAGGGGGGTCAACATAAGAGTTTTGAGGCAAAATCTGGAGGAACTGTTTGAGCCTAGGAAGATTGTGGTTGATGTTAATGGATTTCTCTGCCTTGTGATACTACCGAATTGAGGAAGCTAGCTAACGTGTTCTTGTGCAGGCGCTTGGGTCGATTCTGTTTGCTAAAGTCTATACAAGGGAGCTGGAAGATGTGATGGGGAGTTATTAGGTTCATGGTTCTGGTCTGAACACGATAAAACGACATGGTATCTGATAGGCCTACACCATTCTACGGTAAATAGTAGCCATCGAGTACTTTACAAGGGTTCAGCTCGTGACCTTTCACGGCACCTGGTACTAGCCATCCTGGAAATACTTAGTTACGCAGCAAAATATCTTTTGTAAAAGACCATCTTAAGCCCTAGTAGCCGATTACCAAATATGTTACAGATAAGGAATCTTACAGGGTTTTGTAAGGTACCCGATGGCTACTATTTACCGTGGAATGGTGTATTATGTAGTTCCAACATGAACTCAGTTGAAGTCTTTCCCCTCCCCCCCCCCCTCCCCCCAAACCTCAACCCGTCGTAAAATCGCTCACAACAGCTCGATGATCACTCAAATACACCCCAGCCTCAAAAACATTCGGCACCACCGCATATCCCTCTACCTTCCACAGAGGTGACTCCTTATCTTCAACCGTCGGACCAACCCAAACAAAATCGATCCGGCCCTGCGGATCCTGTGTAGGCGTGAACCCCGAAAAGGTAACAATATCCCCGTATCGATCCACCTCCTCGACCTCGTCATGCACATCCTTTAACCACCCGTCCTGCTTCATGGCAAGATACGCCTCACCATTCGGCATCGAGTTAAAGTCGCCCGTCAGAAACACACCGTCACCCCCAGCCCAGTCGGCATGAACACGCTTCAGCGTCTTCAAGATCAAACTCACACTCTCAACCCGACTCCGCTGTCCAGCATTATCGAGATGCGTGTTCGCCACGACAACTTTTCGTAATGTTTGGCGGTGCTCAAACACACCCACAGTCAAGATCCGGATCGAGTCCGCGTCCCAGCCTTTGCTCGGCACGTCAGGCGTTTCGCTCAGCCAGACGGTTTCGTTGTGCAAGAGATTAAACTGTCTGACCGGATAGATGATGGGGCTGTATTCGCCTTTTGTCTTGCCGTCGTCGCGGCCGACGCCGACGTGTTCCCATGTTGGGCCTTTGGCTGGGTCAGTGTCGGCGGGGACATTATTCAGACCGGCTAGGATGTCGATCAGTTGCGTGTGCAGGACTTCTTGGAGGTTGATGAATGCTGATGAGAAGTAGTCTTGATAGTCCGAAGGTGAGAATGGTTGGGTGCCAGTGGGGACTTTCGTAGGAACGATGCCGCGGGTCTCGTGGCGGAGTTGATTGATCACGAGGGGGGCGCGTTCCGGCCAGGGCCGCTCGTTTGGGAAGAGGGATGTCGCGGCGTAGCGGATGTTGTGGGTGATGATCCGGAGGGAGGAGAGGCGCGATGCAGACGCGCCGAGGGACTGGAGACTCATGATGTCAGTCGTCTTTATTAGGCCAACAGCGGTTTTAGTGAGACACGGTTGTAAGCCGTGTGTTCATAAAGTTGCAGGCTCAAACTTGAAGTGATTTCGTCAAGTCTTCATCTCGATATCTTGAATGGGAGGTTTATTGGAATGAGCGGATAGCCGCATGCCTTACCCCTCAGGCCATGACGTCGCTACTTGACCCAATGGGAGGCAACGACATTACAAATTTAATTTCTATTTATTACCATTTGGCATGTGATCGAATAGCAGGGATCTTGTCCTGTTACTGTTGTCTTATAACCTCCACGACACAACACCCTACCTTCCAGAACTAATACTACCCGTATTTACTTCAACGACCCGGCAACACTCGGAAGTCTCAACAGCGGGTTATGGCGAATACGTCCTACTGCTTCTTCACCGCAGCCATAGTGATCCGCGTAAACCGCCCTCTTCTTCCTAATAATTGACAAAAGTAGGAGGGCCTCCTCAATACCACCCACCCACCCTTGTACATTAAATATTTTGCTGCCAGGCTAGAATGGCCCGCAAACGCGCGGAAAAGTGCTAACCCTGCGCCTAAAAATTATGGCCATTCGGAATGGCTGTCTACATATACGATGCACTTGAACATGCCGATCAGATCCGCGTCCTCGAACTGCAGCCATCTGACAACGGGAACGGACATCTCCACGCTGGGTTCTGCCTTCTCCGCCTCAGAGAAACTAGACAGTGGCGATGGATACGAGGCCTTATCACACACCTGGGGGGAGCCGGTCTTCCCTCGAACTCTGCACGTCGCGGGTGGGAAAAGCATCGCCATCACCGAGAACCTTTATACCGCAATTACGACATTTCTTTACGTAACGCGCCGTAGACGCCTCTGGATTGATGCTGTCTGCATCAACCAGAAGACGACGCGGAGAAGTCCGCCCAGGTCAAGCTGATGTCACGGATACACCGTTCGTCCGCGAGGGTCCATGCGTGGATCGGCGAGAGCACCGAGGAGTCAGAGGCGGCATTCTGTCTGTTCAAGCAATTAGCCGGGTATATCTCGGATCTCGGCATCAACAGCAGCATGGATCACTTTGTCACTTCCACCAAAACGAATTCGTCATGTATTGCTGTCATGGGTGCTGACGAGAGTTGCCAAGCCGCTCTGAACGAGACCGTCTGGGGCGAAAGGTTGGTTACCATTGGAGTTCATGACCTCCAGATCTTCCCGCTAGTCGAGCTACAGGAGAGGGCTCGCCGGGTCAAATTGAGCAGCAGAAACTTCATGGAAGCAGCCATGGACCCTGCATGCCTGTTTCTGTATAACAAGCCCTGGTTCTCCCGGGTGTGGATATGCCAGGAGGCGGTGCTAGCTCCGGTGCTTGTCCTCTGTTGTGGAAAATCACAACTGGAATGGGAAACATTCGCCTCAGCCGTCTTCATCACGTCACTGGCTGGACTCGAACCGGGGGGAGCTTTTAACTGGAGTTTCCGGTTGGCTTTGGATCTGGTCAATCTTCGGGGTCGAAGGCAGCTGCTTACCCCTATCGTTCCCCACGACGCCGCTCTCCCGGCAGAATTCAAACACACCGACCCTTCGATTTACGAACTGAGCCACCGTTCGGATACTGATGAAGCTGAAATATCCGCTACGAGCAAAGAAAGCTTGAAATATTGGTGGACAAATCTAGGGGTGTATAGGCATCAGCAAATGCTGAGCCAGCTGGCGGTCGCAACACAGCAAGTCTTTGAGCCAGACAGTTATGAGAGGATCCGACATGTTCACCGCTTGTTGCAACGACGGCAATGCAGTGATGACCGAGACCGGGTGGACGGCGTCTTTGGTCTGTATTCCAGGGAGGTCGGGTCCTCTTTTCAGCCAGATTATTCACTATCGGTGCGCGATATGTACATTGTCTGGAGCCATGAGATGCTGATGGCAGGGAAGGTAGATGTCCTCACTAATGCTGGGTACTAATGCTGGGTTATGGAATCGCTTCGAGGCGGATTGGAACCCTTCCCACAACGACGCTCTGCCATCGTGGGTTCCGGAGCATCGCCTTCGGAAGCTGAAAACCCGGGACTCGCTCTCCTGGTATCAGCCAACTTTCAGTTATATGTGGGAGTCTTTCAGCTCCCATATTCTACTTTCCACTGAGGCTTCCAAAAGAGGACGGCTCAGGATTACCGCTGTGGTAGTTGGGCAAGCCATTGCACTGGCTCATCTTGCACCAATACTGAACAGGCTGGACGACTTCCTAGCCGCTGGCCAGTACTTTGCGTCCAAAATGGCCGCGGCCGATATGCAAACAATGGACGATAGGCTATTTCCCCACAAGCTAGAGAGGGTGCGGTTGGCGTTTGGCCATCTGATGTGAGATGTGAGAACTGGCGGATGTGCGGTTTGGAGGCAAGACTTTTGGGGAAATAAGTGCGTTTGAGTCGTACGCCTTTTTTTTGGTCGGTTCGCGTCATATTGGCTTTTTGCCCTTCTGCCCCGATCCAGAGGGTGAATTACTTCTTGTGGCATTCCGAGGTCTCCCTGGACCGTTGTCTTGGGCAGAGCGGGCAAGTCTGCAGATTTCCGTCTAATGGGGCCGTGCTATGTGGAAGAGATGATGGGCCCAAGAGGTTATGACTTTCATGTAACGGGGGTTGAGAAGAGGTTTGATCTTGTCTGAGTATATACCATCGGGTTGGAGACTCAATAGCTCTATTTTTAACCCTGTCGCAGTAGTTTTTGGAGCACCGTACGGTGAGTCGTCTCATCTGACTAGGCGACCATGGTGATGGAGGCATATACCTGTGTGAATTTTGTTTTTACATACCTAAGGCACCGTAGATGGCCAGCAGGGACCGTCCCTTTCCATCTAACAGCCTCCAGCAGTCAGGTAATACACTACCTACGCTCTTCCACTACTTTTGCCCAACCGACCGAAACCGACCAACTACCAAACTGGTGGTTGCAAGCAAAAGAAAAGAAGAAAAGAAAAGACAAAGAAAAGACAAAGAAAAGACAAAGAAAAGACAAAGAAAAGACAAAGAAAAGACAAAGAAAAGACAAAGAAAAGACAAAGAAAAGACAAAGAAAAGAAAAGAAAAAGAAAAGAAAAGAAAAAGAAAAGAAAAAAAGGAGAACGTTTACTCGGATACCGGGAGTCGAACCCGGGGCTGTTGAGAGAGAGCAGTCACTCCTGAGAAGTGAGAGTCAACGATGTTACCGCTACACCATACCCGATTTGTGAGAGCCGGGATGGCTTCCGATGAGTTTGTTGAGAGAGCTTCTTACTTTTCGGGTATGTATATGGTAGGATGGGGTGGCAGTGGAGTGGTAAAAGGAAAGAAGAAGCCGAGTTGTGGAGATTTTACCATATAAAAAGAGATTGAAGTGGAATCTGAACTCTCCGGGTGAGTCATGGAACAACAAAAAGAAAAGGTCGTGCCCGGGTTCGAACCGGGGTTGCCGGAAGAAGATTGATGAGATGGCGTTTCTCTTCAAAATCCAAAGTGCTAACCACTACACTACACAACCTTGTTCGTATTGCTTAGAATTGCTGATGCGGCATGTGGACCTGGAGGTTTATATAGCATCACAGCCTCCATCTGCATAAACCCTGTTCGGTACCACCAACCCTTCAACAGCATTCACGGGAACAGATTCTGTCCCCTAGATACGCATAGCAGGTGAGTATCCAACTGAATGAAGGGCCAGTAGTTCAGGATCACTATGAGGATAGATCCGCCGTCTTCCACTCCCCCTTCTTGACCCTCTCACAAATCTCCAGCAACGTCCTCGCGCCCCACTCAATATCCGCCACCTCCAGATAAATGGTGGCGCTGAACCTCGTCCAAAAGTGCCTATTGTAAAAGAAGGTCTGCATGTACGTGTTGTAATCCTTTGCCGCTGTGATGTAGATAAATCGCGAAACAGCGACAACATCGGCTTCGGTGATGTCACCATCATCCTCCCGCATGCCAACAATAATCGGCAGCCTCACATTCGCGAACCCGCACCGTCTGATACTGCCGCTCTTGTTGTCCAAAACCTCAGTCCCGAGAATCTCGGCGGCGCGGTCCCCGCCTTCCATCGCAAGTCCAAAACAGTACTCGCGGATGGCCTCCTCGCCGCCGCAGACCTCGTTCCGGAACTTCAGCGCGGCCGGCACGCTCGTGTACGGACTTATGTCCACGGTCGCGACATCGAGAAACAGATCCGTAAAGTATTGGGCCGGCGGTTTGGCGTCCCGCAGCGCGCCGGGTGCGAGGTAGCCGTGCGAGGTGGGCAGACACGTGGTGATGAGATGCTGGCGGGCAAACGGGACGTAGAGCACGGCGCACCCGCGCGGCACAAAGAGCCATTTGTGGCAGTTGGTCACCAGGAAATCCGGTTTCACGGTTCCTGTATGCCGCATGTCGATGTGGCCAATGCCGTGGGCGCCGTCGATCATGCTCAGGATGCCCAGTTCGTGGCATGCCGCGACGAGCTGCTCCCACGGCACGCGCACACCGGGCCCGGAAACAATGGTATCGAAAATGGCCAGTCGGATCCTTTTTTGATCCTTTCTAAGGGCAGCGACGGTATCCCTGAACATTTGAATCAGCTCGTCGTCCTCAATGGGATACCGCACGTCGATGGCGTGTCCGCGGACCGGCGTCGACTCCTGCAGCGACTGGATCGTTTTGAGGCACGAATTGTAGATGGAGGTTGGGTAGACGATCACGTCGTCCTTTTCGTAGACGAGGTTGCGCAGGACCGTGTTGACGCCGGTCGTGGCGTTGGGCATGAGCACGACCTCGTCGGTGTCGGCCCCGAGCAAGGGGGCGACCAGGGCGCGCGACTCCCGCAGCAGACGAGGGTAGATGAAGACGTTGTAGATGCACTCGCGCGCCTCGAAATCGCGCTGCCGCTGCTCGCGGTACTCGAGCACGTACCGAGGAAAAGTGCCGTACGAGCCGTGGTTCAGGGGCGTGTAGCCGGGCGCGAAGTTGAAGAGGCGCCGCATTGCGCGCCCAAAGGAGACCCGGGGCGGGGTGGGTCCCAGAGGCCCGGAGATTGAGGAATCATCCGAGGAAGCATTTGCCTGAGCGGATTTATTGTGGATTGGAAGCTGCATTGTTTCTTTGTGGCGATATTAGCACTTGAGAGAAGGTTGGTTGATTGATAGAGGGATGAAAGTCGATAAGAATCGCTCGGGATCCGGAGTCCAAACATCCGTGGCGATTTGATGCATGCCCGCGGGTGCATATCCGCCGAGCGTATCCCGCCGGCCGGTTGCAGCTGGATGCTGAATTTCCCCACAACTACCAGGTACAATCCTACCACAACCGATTCATCCTCGTGGCTGCAATGCTTGATAAAGATGCACGCCTTTCTTCTTATCAAATACCAATTCATGTACTAACTCCAGAGAAAACGAATTATGTGTCGGGAGAAGCGGCTCTTATTAATACCGTCCTTATGACTGGCCAAGGAGCTGCGTGGCCCTGTGGCCCTGTGGCTATGGTGTTACGCGTCAGGGAGGGGTGTTCAGCCGCAAAGCGCACTTCCTCTTCCGATACAGGTAGTTTACGTTGCAACCATGTCCCTTGGTCGAGGCTCTTACGCCTCTTACAAACTTACCGCTAGAGCAGATATGTCCCAGGCCCGGAGCCGATTCACCCAGCAGCGTGTTAGATGTATTGAAAGACCACATTACATCTTGGTCCGACCATTTTGACTGCTGTGCAGTCTAGGACAATCAGTACAATTTAACGAGTCGTCTTTTGCACGACTTGGACGGAAAGCCCATGTGGCTTATTCTCGTCTGTGCGCTAGCTTACGGGGGGATAGACGGCGCCGCTTGGAACGATCCATTTGCGTCAGATGTCGAAAATGCTCTCTGGAGGACGTCCTGTGTCTGCGTCGCAACCTTCGGACCTTTAGCCTTCTTCTTCTGGGCCATGTTCTTCGATGGTGATGGGCCCATAGGGGATAGCGGTAACTTGGAGACAATTTTGTGCTTCATCCTTGGCCCCCTTGCCTCAATCTTCTATCTCATGACTAGGACCTACCTGGTTGTGGAGGCCTTTGTCAGTCTGCGAAGTCTTCCTGATGGAGCCTATAGCAGACCCGAGTGGACCCAGTTCTTCCCGCATTTTTAACTCAGCTACAAGCATTGTTTTCGGAATCGATTTCGTCAGGTACCTTCCAGGTAGTCAGCTGCGCATAAAGAAGATATTCATCGGGCCTCATCCTCAGAGTTCGTTTGACACTTTGACTTCCGTCTCACTCTCTGTCACTACACCGGGTCCTTTCCTCCCTCAACAAAGTTCAAGTTTTCCACCCTCGTCCACTTCCTATCCCACTCCCAATACGAAAACGACCCATCCGGTCCCTCTGTTACCATGTGCATCTTCTGACCAAAACTGCCCTGCACTAAACTCCAGACATGCCTTACCCCAGACACTTCAGCAGTTTGCTCAAACATTTCCCATTTCCCCTCTCCGACTCTCGAAGAGCCAAACGATGGCGGATTGAGATGGATATCGTCATTACTCCGCCGCCAGTGCTGCACAGATCCGTTGACTGCGACGACGAGCTGGAAATCGCCGATGCTGGACTCGTTGGACGTGTTGTAGAAGTCCTGGATCATCACGGGCGGCGTGTCGGGTGGGAAGATGTTGGAGCCAAATACTTCGCCGGGTGTCCAAACCGAGGATGATGCAGACCGCCAAAACAGCTGCATCGTGCCGTCTGTGCGGACGGCGACCACGTAGAGGTTGCCGCTGCTGGTACCTTGCGGGTCGTAGATGTCGAGTCCGATGTTGGATTGAACGAGCGAGCTGCCGCTTTGAGCGATCTGGACACCGGTATTGTTGTTAGTTGCGGTAATTGTTGATGCAAGGGTCCAACCTGTTGATGAGCGCGGAGATTGGTGCCACTGTTAGTAATATTGTCAGCTTGTTTTGTCATCATATTTCATTGTGAGCGGAATAATGAACGCAATGCCCTTCTCTGTAAATGCATACCTCTTTTAGCGTTCCATCAGAGTGCTTGACTACGATTACCAGACTCGAATCCTCCGCCTGGACCAGTCCGGGATATCCATCGATTCCTTCGTTGACAATGCCAGGAGCCTGGCTCCAAGACTTGATAGCAGCGCTGTTGTTTGCGCCTTCGCTATAAATCCAATGCTTCAAGTTCTTCTCGTCGTCGATAGCGACGGCATGGAAATCGCGGTTATTAAACGAAGTTCCTAAGATGGCGGGTTGGCCGATCAGTGCGGTTCCGGTTACGATCTTGGAAACAGTCTCCCACTTCAAGGTGCTGCCATCTCGTTTGAAGTGCGTAAATCCTTGAAGAGCACCACGACTAGCGGTGGTAGTTGTGTTAGATCTGAGAGATAACAGCAGCTCAAAGTTCCGATGCGTCTCGCCGTTGCCGCTCTGCATCATGTTCCCGCTTTGGTGCCGTTTCCGCGCCCAGGGGTCGGGGTTTACGTTCGTGATTCCGTACTTTGTCCAGCCGTCAATGTTCGCTTCGCCGTATCTATAAGTTGATGCATGCGGTTAGTCTTCTTGGGTCGTCTTATCGTAGCCAATGCCAGAACGTTCTTCACTTAGCAGGCAGCGAGAGAAGAAGACCTACCCAAAGTAAACAAACCCCCCTTCACCCCAACCCGCGCCCCACGAGTTCTTGATAATCCACGCCTGTTTCTCATCATTGTACCCAACAACCAGCGCAATATGATTTCCCGACGTAGTCGCGTTGCCATTCCATTTATACAAATTTCCACCACCAGTCGCATTACTATTCCCACCCTGCGCTGACGAAGAAGACCCCCACGTCTTCAAATCCGAATACAACACAAACGTCGCAACGATCGGACCATACTCATGTATCCAGCGCTTCTGCTCCTCTATCAGTCCCAAAGCCTGGTAAAACGGGATATGCGTCGCCCTGCCCGCTCGGTCCGCGCACGGAGTATACCCGTGCAGGGTCGCCTCGTACGGATCGCACGGCCAATCCGCTATTCCGTGCGGGAGTGCGTCTGGGTCGCTAATGTAGTCGGCGCCCTGGCCGGCGAGGAAGGCGAGCGTGTCCTGCGCGTTGCCTATGCTCTCGCACGCGGCGCCAGCGCCGTCGTGCACGTCCGCCTCGCTGCGCTTGCTCCAGATGCCGTGCTCGATGCGGGTCATGGACTCGACGAGGGCCGTGACCGCGAACGCCCAGCAGCTCTGGCAGACGCCTTGGTCTTGGGCGGTCGTGATGTAGTTTTTTCCGCTCCTGTTGCGCCAGTCGACTGTTGATGGGAGTACTGGTGTCTCGGCATCTGTGAGAGTTTTGGATGCGGCTGCGGTGAGGCTGTTTGTGAGCTTGACAGTTTTGGTATTGGCGATTGCTGGCTTGGGCCTAGATCTGGGTGGTGAATAGGGGGATGGGTGGATGGATGACCAGTTGACGGGTGGGATTGTGTCTGCTGGTATTGGAACTGGGGTTCCTTCTCCCCATGGTAATCGAAGACTCGGTTCCTTGATATGGGGCCTGATCGT